TTGAGTTCCCGGAACAATGAATGCGGAAACTCAGTTTGATCGGTTTACTTTCTGCAGCCTTCATGTTTCCCCAGATTCCACTTTCGGTGGATTATTCACTGGATTTCCTAAATGTGTTAACTTTACTTAACCATCCAGTTTCGAAACATATGTTCATTAATGCTACCAAGCATCAGAAATGGTATACTTTATTTGCAACTCCCTTACACATTTTCTTACATCAGCTCACTCCTTAGTGAAATGAACTCTTCCTTTACTCGGTCTTCCCCCGGCCGTTCGCAGTTTATTGAGTAAATATCAGACACGTTCATGGTTGGTTTAGCATAGTGGAGTCTTAATTTTCGTAATAAATCATTTACGACAACTGCACTTTCGCTTACAAAAAGCTCTAAATATTCCTTTAACTAAAAAGCGAGATTGAAAGGCCCAACTAAACTGTGCAGTTTGTGCCATCACGATGAAACATATATATTCACTGACTGAAATGAGTAAGCGGGAAAATTTCTCCTAGAATACTTAATTATTACCGACACAGTTTGCTGGTTTCTGGTATGCAGCTTAGCATCGGTATTTTTAAGTCTTTAATGTCAAGTCTGTTAAAATGTACTCAAATAACCGTTGCTGTGTGTTAACATTTGAAAGGGTACGATACATTCCAACAATTTTCAGGCGTTGTTTTCAAGAAATATACCTTCTTTTCCTAAAATTATGGACTTAAATAAGTCCGCCAGTGGGCCAATGGGTGGAAGTTACTTTCTTGCCTTTAACGTAACCTGTGATCAAGCTTTTCTTTCCTCTTTGAGAAGAGAGGAAAAAACAAAAAAGCCCTCCTTTTCATGACAGACATAGATATAAAGGGACCTAAAGAAAGGGGATGATCGCAGGCTACGGTTTACGTCTTGGTTTGGGTTGACTCTGTCTCTTCTCCACTTCCCTCAAAGTTGAATTAGGCTGCGTATGATAAAGGGTTTTCTTAAATGAGAGTTTAGGCTTTTTTATCTTGTCATTATGAGTGTGCGGAGCCGCAGAATCGTGTGATAGTCTTTGATTTCCCGCACTGCCAGGAATGTCATCTCTACTAATAAGTTTGTTCATTCTACTTTTGTTTCCACCCATCCTTAGCCCATGAGATTTGTTTCCGTTGGTACCGTTTTCCTTTATGGTGATTTTGATGTTATGAGTGCCCACATAGGAAACGTTCATGCTGTTAGTTTCACGTGAGGTCCCATTTTTCTCATTTATTTTTCCTCTCGGTTTCATTTTCACGTTTCCTTTTTTAGAAAAAGCAGCTTTCATTTTATGCGACTTCACTCGAGCCTCATTTCGCAGACGACTCTTGCCTTTATGTTTTGGTATGGTATTCCTTCCAAAAACTCCAAGCGTTTTGATTGAAGGTTTAGCCTTAGCCGTTGAATTTTGTTGCTCGTGTCTTTGAATGGCTTTACGTTTTTGACTTGCCAACATGTTATCTTCAGCTTCCATATGTTGTACTGCCTGCACCGCTGGGTCATCCTCGATCGAAGGCAAATTCAGATCTTTGAGGTCTTCAGCTACCGAAGCAGCCTCGCGTCCTGGGTTCCACTGTTCTGCGCCCACTTGAGGTTGTAGACTACTTTTCGTGGGGTTTGAATCCAACAGCCTTTGTGCATGTACCTGCTCTGGTGCAAAGTTCCAGTTGTAACTGTTTACCTCAGCATTCGGCTGCTCTTGAATATTTTCAAACCCACCGCTATCCACATAGCTGGTTTGAAGTGGTGATGCCTGAAGAAAGTTAGCGTACGGATTTTTGTATTTCGATGAACTCAGACTGGTCTGGGGGCTTTCATAACGTGTAGTCTTCAAATGAAAAGAATTTATCCCAGTAGCAGGTTCCTTCACATTTTTGTCGTTGACATTCATGTTATCTGCTGTTTTACTTCGGACAGGAAGCTGACCACTCGATGAATCATCCGCTTCGTCCTCTAGCTTCAACTTGTTAGCGTAGCCGCGAAGAGTTTTCAACAAAGCTTTCATAGAAGTAGATATTTCCCTGATTTCAGAAGCACTTGGAAGCTCTATTTCCGGAGAGGTCGGCTTAATCTGCCTGTCTGCAGCTGTTTGTGCAGTTTTTGAGACAATAGCCTCCGTTTCCCCTCCAGTTTCACTATCGGTTGTTGAAAATAAATCCGAAACAATCGGCAAAGGTTTATCCTGAAACGACTTTGTTTCCGCACTTTTTGAACCCAGGCTATCAGAACGGAGAGATGATGTTGAGGTTAGAGCAGCAGCGAGATCGACAGGTTTCACAGTGGAATGATCTTCATCCTCGTCTGTCGCGATTCTCCCTATCGCATTCATCTGAAGGCCCAAGGGAAGGTCCGTCATTGATTTCGTTTGGGAACCTGCACTATTTTGTGAAGACGGCGAAAGCGTCGTTGGCAACACATCGCCATCTGACGACTTTGAATAAGCTTCGACCTGACTTGTCCCTGCGGTTGGATCAGAGAGTACCCCTGGCACTTGCAGTATTTGGTGTTGCTTAAATGAATGTTCAGTATCTTTAGATGATGTGGAATTGATCTTTCCCAGTGTTGTCGCCGACTGAATATTGAGGTAATGAGGAACCTTACTGCTTCGCAAACCAATTTTTTGTTTAGCCAGGGGCTGCTCTTTGCTTTTAACTGAAGGAACTGGTGTAGCATCAACGGTCTCTAACGTAAATGTTACCATTTGGTCACCTGAGCCAAGTTTATCAATGTCTTTTGACTTCGTGGAGTTGGTTGCCCTGTTTTCTGGCAAAGTAAGGATAGGCACAGCAGGATTGAGATTTTTATCTAAAAGTTTTGTAACCTTTTTTCTTTCCCCTGCATGGTCGTTAGGCGCCTCCAAAATTGCATCTGTTTCAGAAAGGTCACCCAAGGTGTGGTCAGTCGGCACAACATGTGCCAAACGCTCATTTTCAGTTTCATCGTGGTGAATTTTTGGCTTTTTCCTTGCTGAGCTGTCTTCATTGGTGTCCTTCACATTTAAGAGACTTGCTATGACCGCGGACATCAAGTCACTCGCCTTCACTTTGGAGTATTTATCTCCTGGTTTATTATGACTTGTAAGAGGATGTAGGTTGTCGTCTCTTGACATGCTGTTCATAAAATCCATTAAGGTCGTATTCTGTATAGACTTGGACATATTTTTCGTGTTGTAATTGGAAAACGTAAGTTTCTCTTTTGAATCGTCATCATGGAACGGTTTCCGTATTGTTTCGAAGTCAGGACGTTGCGGCTGATCAATGTTGATACCGCTTTTAGATCGGTTTTTGCTTTTTATTTCAAGGTTCTCTTGTACAGAGGAATTATGGGGCGCTTTCAGAATCGCCACAATCTTTCTCCCCAGTTGAGTGATAACATCCTCTTGTGGAGTGATTTTGCTTATACGTCCACCTAACAGAATTCCTTTGAAGTTGGTGAGTGTGTCAATTGTCTCATACAATGATCTGTTGGTAGAATTGCCTTCGAGAGAGTTCTGACGTTTTGATAGTATTCCAATGATACTATTCACAGCTTTAGTAAGGAGAACATTATCAATTGAAGCTGTCTTATTTAAGCTCGTGATTCCTTCAGCTAGCTTGGAATTCGACTGATTATTTTTGACTGTCGGATGTTTCAAGGGAAATGCATGAAAGCCTGCTTCGACCACTTTTTTGTCAAGTGGGTTACTTAAGGCACCATTGTTTTGTAAAAATGAGGAAATATTTTGAGCTATCTCCGCAAACGGACTTCCACTAGCATTCCATTTTTGAATCAGATCGTTTATTGTACCTCGTTTTAGCGCGTCGTCAACCAGTCCAGCGAGAATATTTTTCAACATAAGAAAGCCACTATCTCTGGAGGGGGATTTTTGTAGGTTAGAACTATTGGTGCCAATTTTTACGACGTTCTCTCTTGTGTTTGCATTCTGTTGTCCCACAGCTTCCGCCATTTCTATGGCGTTATTTATTTTGCTTTGGACCATTTCCAGTTCTGCTGTGTTCATTTGGCCATTTATCTCTAAATTATTGTTGGGGTCCATTTCATCGTCATTACTGAACACTTGTTTTTCAATTGAGCCAGATTGTGTAACATCACCTCCAGATAAGAGTGCTCCTAACATCTCCATGTCTTCATCAAGCGGGCTCTTCCTGTGGTGATGATGATGATGACGGTGATGGGGATGACGATAATGCATATACTGGTTTTTAAGTTGCGGTCCCTCTTGGAGATTTGGATACTTGGCGTCTGGTGAGATTGGTAAGTGATTTTGGTTGCGAGCATGTTTTGAGCTTTCATCTGATGATAGCTTGGCTGTTAGAGCATCTAAAGCATCACTTAAAGTTTCCAATGTAACAATTTTGTCATCTAGCTTTTTGATTTGTTCTTTGTTGGTTTGCTTAACCGAGTGTTTTCTGCTGCCGTTTATTGCACTCATAATCAAGCTGTTGTCTGTCGATTTATTGCCGTTGGCAGTATTTAAAACACTTGAAAGATCATTCAGAGCAAAAACCTTATTACCTATAGAGATAACAGGCGTCGACAAGCTTTTGCCGCCTGTAGCTGTTGTATCTTGTTTGGAGGATTGAAGCAACAACCCAGGCAGGATGTTTTCAATCAATCTTGCGTTTAGCGGAGTCTGAAGGTTTGGTTCCACTGCTGGTTTAACCGAAGATCCAAAATGTTGGGCCATTAAATTTTTGTACGACGAATCTCCAAGTGTTCCCAGGGCTAAAAGTCCTTTGGCAAGTCCCTGCCCAAAATTACTGGCAAGAAAGTTTTTAACTAAATCCTGAGTATTACTGAGAGGTGAAATATTTGATGACATATCGGCTGATGTTTTTGCAACAGCAGTAGCAATATCGTAATTATTAGGCTGGCTGATGTGATCACTGTATCCCGTTGGACCCAAGGCAGAACCTGTTTTGCTTATGCCCGATGACTCATCATGTGTGTGTGTGATATCGGCGTTAGAATTCGAAGTACTGCCTCCAGAAAACACCTTCAAAGGTGTAATGCCAACTTGCAGTTTTGACTTTTCCTTTGTGTCCACCGGTGTCGGCGGGGAATCCTTTGGGATAGGTAGATTTTCGCCAAGCAACGTTGAATTTCTGACTTGGGATTCCCCTCCCAGGTATTCGATAATTGGCTTCAGCTTATCTGTACCTTTTCCTTGAGGAACTGGAAGCAACATGCTCAAGTTCAATTCACCCATTGTGGACTGGGGGGCTGGACTCTTGCTACTCGATGTTAGGTCCAACGAAGAATGCACTGCGTCATATTGTTCTGAATCTGGAAGGTAATTTTGATCTTCTGCATGCCCATCTGCTAAAATGACACACACAAAAAAATTGGTTCTTGTTTGTTTTTTTCCTATCGGAAAAAACGATTTAGGGGCGAATCGTGCTAACAAATATAGTACAATAACTTTAGAATAGTGACCAAGAAAAAAGAACTCAAGCGAAAACTGCAAAAAGGAAAACCAAAAGAGTCGACTAGGCTCAAGATTGGCCAAGGGACCTCTTTAAGGTTTCCTCATCGGTGCCAATCGACAAGAGACTTTAATCGACACCTTAACAATATCAATACGATAATTTTTAACCTCTCTAGACTTTTGGAACGCAACTTACTTGCTTCTTCCTCGCTTGGCTGGCATTTGTAGCTAATGACAGCGTACTTGTCAATCCCTGGACAGTGTTCTCCACCTTTAGTCAAATGATGATCATCCGCAGTGACGATACAACTCTCTTTCCCAGAGCACTTAGACTTCAAAGCTAACAAACTGTCTGCTGAGTTGGCGCACGTAAAAAACTTTCCGAGGGGTGTGGGACAGGTAGAAGGGGAATCCCGCCCCCAATATGCTGATAGAACATGAATCTTCCATCCTTGACCGCACGTAAGCTCTGTCGTCTCACCGTTGCACAACACAAACTTTCGTTTCTCTGGAATGCACGTGTACTTGACTGCCAAGTATTTATTAACACCTGGGCAATGTTTCACTCCTGGTGGCTGCAAAATACTATGCCTGGCGGGAATCTCGCAGTATTCCTTGTCATCGCACAGCTTTCGCACAATAGGGGTGGTGGAAGGATCACTGAGACAATTGGTGACCGGATCTCCATCTTCGGAGGGGCAAATTTCGGATGAAAGGCGACCCCAAAAGGCTTCCTGTATAGCGATGCTTGAGCCAGGAGACACGCATTCGAGGGACTTGTTCTGACCAGCGCAAACAATGACTGATTTTTCTGAGGAAAAAAGTTGTCCATTCATCAGCTTTAAAGTACTGGGAAATATAAAAATTGGCAGCCTACAATATTAGGTTAATGGTGAATAGTACACCAGAGCTCGTTCACATGTCAGTGCAGCGGTCAATAATCTGCCTATAAACCTCTTTATGTAGTGTTACCTAGGTGGAAAGTGACAGCCGCGTTCTCCAGGTAAAATGCTGGTTGTAGAAGGTCAAGGAAATAGGAAATAGCGCTTTAGGCTTTTCCTTCACGTTTCAAGGATCTCAGTGCGTTAACATTCATTCTTCAAAAATGGTCTTCTCTAAGCGCTTTGAATTGACTTTCGGAATCTTTTCTGTTTTTCACTAAATTCACTTATCATTGACTTGCTGGGTGCGAATAACATTTAAGTTCGAGAACCTATATTTACATGTTATAGAAGGGGAAAGTGCCTTCCGTTAGCGACAAACCTGTTTCCAAGTCAATTTCACTTCGTGTCCTTCCAACTCTCCCTGGCGTTTCTGCCCGAACTGTGTGATGATAAAATTAAAATCAGTGCGCTCATAAATGATAGGGAATATCTCTTATATCGTAACTCTTCAATTAGCTGGTGGATGTTAGTGAGAGCTGTAACCATATTTCATGTCAAAGTTAAGTAAATGCAAATTGAAAACGCGTAAACTGAATAGATAACCAAGTGCTTTTAAACTGTAAAGGAAAAAATACCTCTTAACGTACATACCGGATAAATACATGTGAGTCTTCTATTCACAAAAGTGACTGTGGTAATACAAAATAACCTAACAATTTATTCTTTAAGACTTCTCTGTGTGCCTTGTTTTGAAATCCTTAATTCTCTAAATTACTTGGCTTACTAAATGTTAAAATCCATATAATAATCGAACTGCTTCAGCTCTTTGCTAGAACTAGCTAAACAGTTCATTTATATGTATCATTATTTTAGTCAGTAAACTGTAAACGTCTAAAAAGATTAAATCGACAACAAAATTCACAAGAATGAGCCAGGAGACATTTTGTTTTGAGTAAAATTCCTGTAAGTTATCTATCTAATCTCTAAATGGTTTCAGTAATCGCCTTTGTTATATTTATTGGCGAATTATATTAATTAAAACTAAACTGAACAAAACAGGACTCTATCAAATCTCACCTGATAACTGGTCAAAAGTACCCGTTGAGACCACCCAGTTAAACAATACAGCAACAAGAAGCCAAGAAATGAATATCAAATACTCCTTCATCTTCAGACAACATTCTTTTACATCCTAAGGCGTTTAATTTCACTTGAATAAAGGAACCATGTTTTACTGGGATCTCTAAATTTGCTTTTCATTTTCGGTAGGACTTACTGAGCCGTACAAAATCAATTCTTTCTGACCTCGTCACCAGCTAAGGGTCACCTTGTTCACAAAGTGAAAATGTCAACCTTAATGTGAATTCCCACCCTGAAATATTTATAATTAGTATAATCCTAGCACAAAAGTGTTATAGACGATTTTTCTTTACAAACCCTACAAATAGTTATTTTTTTCAAATCTAAAATATTATGGCGGCTCCTAGAAAACCTTCGCTGGGAGTGGTTTGTTTGTAATTCTTACGTCACGTTCATTTAAGTGTCTTCGTGAATAACCATTGAAGTTAGGACAGCTTTTCGCTGCCAAGGTTTGAAGAACATCGATATAGTTGTACAGTGAAGTTAATTTAATATGCTTGTTTAAAGGATAGCCTGTAAGCAAGCTCTCTGAAGTGCTCTAGGGCAAGGGGGGAGTAAAGCCGGGGAGCCGGCCCCCAGGGAGCTTATTAGCAGGCTTTCGCGGCCCACCGAGAAAAGAGGTATGAGATACGTTTAAGGAAGGTGACCTTGTGCGTTGGCCAGTTACGTTCAACCACAATATACAACCCTCATTACTAAAACAGCCGATTTCTTTCCTCAAAACAAAGATGTTTTCTTTCGATGTTTAATAACAATACATTGGCATTTCGGTTTTTCGCGTAATTACACAAAGAACATTTGCATCATTTAGTATTTTGTTTGTCTCTCATGAATAGGAAGCCAGCGCGTTCCTCTTGGGATAAGTTTCAAGACGGCCAATTGTGGATCTTCATGCTTCACCTAGCTTACGGACGCAGCCGCATTTCTGATTGTCGTTTCTCTCCACCCAAAAAGGGCGTCTGCGCACGCAGGCTATGCTTCCCCAGAACTCATGCTAGGGTGTACTGGGAATTTGACAAAGTCAGAGATTGATGACAAGCAAACGATTGAAGCTGAGTACGTCATACCAAGCAAGTTCAAGTACAAATACAAGTTCAAGTATAAGATGAGAGACCGTTTGGATCGTCGTGATTGAGTTCTCATCATTAAAGGGTCTTAATGGGTTAATCGTCGGCCGGAAAACAGCCAACGTTTTAGACGTTAGGCGTAAAAAATAGAATTGTTTGATCGCTAGAGTTAAGAAATGTCATATAACAGTTGAATTTTTTTCTAGCCACAATTTGTTATGCATAGAGTGTCAATATCGCTTGTTAGGACCGAGTTTAAGTGTCTTGTCTTGTCTCGTGCTAGCCTGTTCCAAGCGTTCAGATGGTGGGGAGCGGGCGAAAAATTAGTTGTGCGCGGGCCCAGTCTCCCTTCGTGTTTCTTTTTGCGCTCACCGCGTACGGTTTAACTTGCTCCCCACTATCTAAACTCCTGGAACGGGCTAGTATCGTGCGTGATGGACCTCCTGGAGAGGTCCTTAGAGGCCTGAGCCTAAGCCAATGGAACAACCGTTAGCCGTAGAAAAGCCAAATTATTAACCGTTGACTGACCCACCAAAGCATTTCCTCCTTCGCGTCCTTGCCTTCCGTTAGCGACAAACCTGTTTCCAAGTCAATTTCACTTCGTGTCCTTCCAACTCTCCCTGGCGTTTCTGCCCGAACTGTGTGATGATAAAATTAAAATCAGTGCGCTCATAAATGATAGGTAATATTTCTTATCTCGTAACTCTTCAATTAGCTGGTGGATGTTACTGAGAGCTGTAACCATATTTCTTGTCAAAGTTAAGTAAATGCAAATTGAAAACGCGTAAACTGAATAAATAACCAAGTACTTTTAAACTGTAAAGGAAAAAATACCTCTTAACGTACATACCGGATAAATACATGTGAGTCTTCTATTCACAAAACTGACTGTGGTAATACAAAATAACCTAACAATTTATTCTTTAAGACTTTTCTGTGTGCCTTGTTTTGAAATCCTTAATTCTCTAAAATACTTGGCTTACTAAATGTTAAAATCCATACAATAATCGAACTGCTTCAGCTCTCTGCTAGAACTAGCTAAACAGTTCATTTATATGTATTATTATTTTAGTCAGTAAACTATAAACGTCTAAAAAGATTAAATCGACAACAAAATTCACAAGAATGAGCCAGGACACATTTTGATTTGAATAAAATTCCTGAAAGTATCTATTTAATCTTGGAAATGGTTTCGGTAATCGTCTTTGTTATATTTATTGGCGAATTATATTAATTAAAACTAAACTGAACAAAACAGGACTCTATCAAATCTCACCTGATAACTGGTCAAAAGTACCCGTTGAGACCACCCAGTCAAACAATACAGCAACAAGAAGCCAATAAATGAATATCAAATACTTCTTCATCTTCAGACAACATTCTTTTACATCCTAAGGCGTTTAATTTCACTTGAATAAAGGAATCTTGTTTTACTGGGATCTCTAAATTTGGTCTTCATTTTCGGTAGGACTTACTGAGCCGTACACAATCAATTCTTTCTGACCTCGTCACCAGCTAAGGGGTCACCTTGTTCACAAAGTGAAAATGTCAACCTTAATGTGAATTCCCACCCTGAAATATTTATAATTAGTATAATCCTAGCACAAAAGCGTTATAGACAGCTTTTCTTTACAAACCCTACAAATAGTTATTTTTTTCAAATCTAAAATATTATGGCGGCTCCTAGAAAACCTTCGCTGGTAATTTTTTTTGTAATTCTTACGTCACGTTCATTTAAGTGTCTCAGTGAATGACCATTGAAGTTTGGACAGCTTTTCGCTGCCAAGGTTTGACGAACGTCGATATAGCTGTACAGTGTAAGTTAATTTAATATGCTTATTTAAAGGGTAGCCTGTAAGCAAGCTCTCTGAGGAGCTCGAGGGCAGGGGAGGAAAAAAGCCGGGGATTTCGTTTTCCTCCGTCCCCTGCCCCCAGAGAGCTTATTAGCAGGCTTTCGCGGCCAAATGAGAGAACAGGTATGAGATACGTTTAACGAGGAAGGCCTTGTGCGCTGGCCAGTTACGTTCAACCGGAATATACAACCCTCAATACTAAAACAGTTGATTTCTTTTTTCAAAACAAAGATGTTTTCTCTCGATTTCTAATAACAATACGTTGGCATGTCGGTTTTTCGCGTAATTACACAAAGAATATTTGCATCATTTAGTATTTTGTTTGTCTCTCTTGAACAGGAAGCCAGCGCGTTCCTTTTGGGATAAGTTTCAAGACGGCAAATTGTGGATCTTCATGCTTCACCTAGCTTGCGAATGCAGCCGTATTTCTGGTTTTCGTTTCTCTCCACCCAAAAAGGGCGTCTGCGCACGCAGGCTATGCTTCCCCAGAACTCATGCTCGACGATACGAACCTTCTAGTGTGTGATACTGGGGTGCACTGGGAATTTGACAAAGTCAGAGGTTGATGATAAGCAATCGATTGAAGCTGAGTACGTCATACCAAGCAAGTTCAAGTACAAATACAAGTTTATCTATAAGATGATAGACTGTTTGGATCGTCTTGATTGAGTTCTCATCATTAAAGGGTCTTAATGGGTTAATCGTCGGCCGTAAAACTTCCGAACGGTTTAGACGTTAGGCGTAAAAAATAGAATTGTTTGATCGTTATAGACGTAAAGAAATGTTATAAAACGGTTGAATTTTTTCTAGCCACAATTTGTTATGTATAGAGTGTCAATATCGCTTGTTAGGACCGACTTTAAGTGTCTTGTCTTGTCTCGTGCTAGCCTGTTCCAAGCGTTCAGATGGTGGGGAGCGGGCCAAAAATTAGTTGTGCGCGGGCCCAGTCTCCCTTCGTGTTTCTTTTTTGCGCTCACCGCGTACGGTTTAACTTGCTCCCCACTATCTAAACGCCTGAAACAGGCTAGTCTCGTGCGTGATGGACCTCCTGGAGAGGTCCTTAGAGGCCTGAGCCTAAGCCAATGGAACAACCGTTAGCCGTAGAAAAGCCAAATTATTAACCGTTGACTGACCCACCAAAGCATTTCCTCCTTCGCGTCCGCTATCTAGTTTTGTGTTCAAAGGCACGATCAGTTTAGTGCGCATTCTCGATCCTTTTTTCATAATGACCTCAATCTAGAAGCTAGTACCTGATTTGAAAAATCCCAGTGATTTTAGTTGAAAGCTCTTTTAGGGGGTTTTCTGGTAAATCAAGTACTTTTTTCCAAAATTAAGTTGTATAAAGCATTTTATTGCACTTGTTAGGAAGCAAGTTCTATTTTCTTTCAAATTTTATACAATGCTACATTATTAAATCTCTCGCGTCTACGCGAAGTATAATTATTATTATCGTTATTATTTCTGAAGCGGTCTACATTGACTATGATCGATTTGCTGTGGCCACGAACTTATAAAAAACCATTATTTTCATTAGCCTTTGAAAAACACCTGCTATTGTTCTGTTGGGCTAAGGAGATTTGCTGTTTTCCCCACACTTTCACTTGGACCTGCTGGTGGTCGATTTGAAGTAACATTTATAAACTTAGAAAGTAGTGGTCATGTTGAATGGGGTTCTACATAAAATGAGTCAAAGAATGAGAAAAAAAGCCTGAAAAGAAAACTGTGTCGTCCTGTTAAAATTTTCTTTGACACAGCTACTTCTTCATCGAATCACTCCAGGTTGAAGTTTAATTTCTTTCGGAGGGTACCTTCTTAGGTTTCAGTCGCCGCAGTGACTGATGAAAACTAACGCACTCTTATAGAATAGTATTTAAACATTGCTCAAGATATATACCGCATGACATCTATCTGAAAAAAATTCTGTTACAGTTGTTTATAACATAACTATACAGCTGCATGGCCGTACACAAGAATGAAACTTGTAATGTATGACCTTATTTCAGTTACTGTACATCGCTCTTAAGGTGAATTTCCGGTTCCTGCAATACCCAGACCTAAACCACGAAGTTTTCTGGGTTCTGAATTCTTCCTCTGTTCTGTGAATTTACTTTTGAGAACAGGAATGGGTCTCATTTTACTGGATCCTAGTGTAGACTTTGAATGAACTTGGTTACTCTGTGAAACCCCTTTCAATTTCGGCTCTCCTTTCTGAAGCCTCGGAGTTCCTACTTGAACCAGTGCTGCGACAGGTTTTGAGTCTTTTTTCTGTGCTGTTGTTGATTTACTTTGGTTTTGCACTGGAACACCTTTCGGTCTAGCTGCTTGTGGAAATTTTGGAAAAGCTTTAGAGATCACATTTGGCGTGATCTTTTGTCGTGGGATGGAGGCTCTTTGAGTCCCAGACCCTTCTGGGGTGTTCTTCTTTATGTGGTGTATTCCTTCAATGATCATACGTTCAATAGCTTGCGCCTGTTCGTCCGTCAGCCCATTATCCGATGGACCCTCCTCTCCGTCCTGTGTCTCGGCTGATGCTTTAATGAGATTATTTATCTTTTCCAAGGCCTTTAACCCCCCCATTCCTAGCCGTCCAATGTTCAGGTTTTCACCAGCCGCATCAGCTGGTGCTTTTACTCCTTGTGGCCCATCATCAAGTTGTTTGAGGTCACTCACCACGTTTGGTGCGAGGCCTGGGTTAGGCTTTAAGGGTGACTTGACCACTGGTTCCTGATCATTCTGGGGCAGATCCTCCTCGGTTCCTAACAGGGGCGTAAAACATATAAAATATCAGCAAATCAAAAGCCACAAACCAATGAGTGGTGCCGGATCTCCCAGTTGTAGTCCTGGATCAGTACAATAATAACTTATAGAAAATCATGAAACGACAAACTGATCCTCACGGCAAGGCGATGAAGAAGTAAACAAAAGAATAAAATTATAAAATATATATTTAAACAAATTTGCTCAATATTTCGGTTTGACAGCAAACCTTCTTCAGGGGCTAAAAGAAGAATGAAGATAAAACTAAAAGTTCGTTACAAATACGAGTTTGAAAATATGAAAATAGAAACAATAGATTGTTATTGGTGTAGGAGACTAGGTAGTATCGTATATCAGCGAGCTTCAAAACACAATACGTAAAACATATAATACGTAGCAAGCATCAATAACTGCAACCCTATCTCAAATATAGCAGCTTTGAATCTTTTTGCACTTTGCCATTTCAAATCTAAATAAACTTCTTGAAGAAAAAGGGGATGTTTAAAATTATGGGAAACAGACTGTTTTAATTGAATTGACAAAGACCAGATAGGCCACCATGAAATAAAGATGCTCCTTAGCCTGATAGCAGATCAACTAGTTTATACGGCGAATACTCTTTAGTACCCTAGAATACCCTGGTATCCATGGCAACATCTGGCATTCTGATTGACTGACATTGTCGTTCTCTATCAGCTCATAGAAAGCCAGCGGAGAAAACCCGGGTTTTTCGCCAGCTAATACTTGTTAAAAATTGGTATCAAGTGCTCTATTTTAATATAGAACAGAGAAGGTTTTTAAAGTTTATTCCGAGCTTCGCCCATCTTCACCTACAATCAGCCAACTTAATCCTTACTGTTTCTTTTAGGGTCATTTTACCCATAATGCCGCCTTAAGGAGGCACATAATGGAGGCAATACAAATAAGCTACGTACACTTAATTGATTAACTAGCGAAGAGTCTGTTTGTAAAATCTGTCGAGTCAGGTACTAAGTTACCTATATTTGGGTGTGGTTTGCAGCTGTAATTAATTATCAAATACTTCTGAACTCCTGGACAGTTCTCTGCGCCATTCTGAACTTGATCGTAAGACGCATGCACATCACACTTTGTCAGTCCATCACATGATTTCTTAACAATCCCAAGGCTCTCCGGGGCCCCAGTGCACATGGTCTGTCCATTCTCAGCTGGACAAACAGTTGTAGACTGCCGCCCCCAGAACACGGAGTTAACTCCAATCTTCCACGAGGCCGGGCAGTTAAGAGTTGAGTTCTCGGAGTCGCACATGACTTCCTCTTTCGCGTCTGGAACGCAGGTGTAATTAACAGTAAGATATTTGTTTACTCCTGGACAATGTTGCGAGCCAGGGTTTTGTAACAGCGCATGCCTAGCTTCAAGTTCACAAGATTCTTTTCCTTCGCATCTCCCCTTTACAATGCCCTCTGACTCTGGAGCAGTGAAGCAGTCGAGTTGCGTATCACCATCGTCTGAAGGGCAAACGCTCGCTGACCGGCGTCCCCAGAATACACCGGTCACTGCTATATTTGAACCTGGGTATGAGCAGCTCAGGGGTTTCTTCTGAGTGGTACACACAGTTATCTCTTTGGCTGATAAAAAATAAAAACATTCTTTTAAAAGAAACGGAAAGTACTAAAACTCAACTTTGAACTTAGAATGGATACTCCTAAAACATCTCCCAAACCAACTGCATTTTCTCTTCATCTGGTTTTCTTGTTGAATATCTGTACAAAGACAGGAGTCCAAGGTCCTTATTGCCGTCCTCCAATCAATAAAAATTATATTAATCTACGTACGTTTCAGGAAAAGATCACATATTGATTTGATTTCCTAGCGTTTTGTGTTCGCAGGCAGGCTATTTCCCGTTTTAAATTTTTACACTTATTAATAAGCAAGTACATCAAGAAACCACGACTTTGATTTTCATAACATTTTTCATGCTAACCATTCTTAGAAATGGAAGGTTAGGCATGTCAAACAATAAAGAAGTAATGGCTACTCACATGACTCTAAGTCGATCTGGCTCAGACCAGCTCCTGCATCGGGCGTGTGCACTCCCCCTACCAAGAAAAGGAAAAGGTTTGTTTTTTTAGTAACTAAGGAGGTTGATAACATAATCTCCTGAAGAAGCAGTTTTGCGGAGAGAGCTTGGAGGGTTATCACTTATTAACTTTACAAGAACCCCTTGAACACAGGAACTAGTTTGCAAAATACTTAGAAAAAACCTGTATAAGAAAATCAATATAGTAACCAAGTATCAGTGTATTTTCTCCCAGCACCAGAAAAGGTTTTCTTTACTATCTTTCGTCACTATAGCGACTACTTTCTTTACTCCTAACGGGTATTATTTAAAACTCTTTTACTCTCCTATTTACGTAGTTGGTTATTAGTTGAACATGGAATACGCCTGAATATAAGAAGAAAAAATCCTTTTATTGATTGTGGTAGAAAGTCAACATGACAGCGAGATAACACCAACCAAAATACTCTGAGATCGGCGAGTCAAAATTAACAATGAATACAGTTTTTGTTTCACGACTGCAAAACATGGACGACCTGGAGTGAAATTAATCGAACCACAGGTAAATATTGACTAAGCAGTTGTATCGCCAAAAGGCAATGAATATAAGTACAATAACGGTCATTCGGTGCACAAAGTTGATACTCTGAACTTACCCTGGGCAAACGCGAGTCGTAATTCCAAGCTTGCTATCACGGCAAACAACAGGGAAATCACTCGAAGAGTCCCCATTACTGCCTGGAGAAAAACAGAAGATGGTTAAAAAGATTCCCTCAAGTAAGCACCTTATAGAGATGTTTTGTCGTGATATGTCCACTTGTCAAAACACCAACCCGCAAAGCAAATTTACCAAACAGGTGGCACTAGGAATTAAGAACAGGTCTAAATTCTCTTGTTAACGGTCAGTCACGAAGCAAACTCGCCCTGAACAGTTCTAAGCTATATTCCTTATTGTTTAAACACTTGCCTAACGAATAAGGTTCTATCAACAGCTAGCTTCCACCAGACGAAATGGTACTGACACATTCAGTTCAGTGTCCCTTCCACAGAGCACATCATTGAAAAGCAATTTACCAGAAAACGTTTTTGTTTTGGTTTGGTTCGACATCAGAGACACAACTAATAATGCAAAAACAGCCCCTGCCTGATAAAAAAAAGTCCGATTGGGGATCAAACCCATGAAAGTATTCACTGTCCTTGAATCCTCGATTAGATTTCAAGAACAACACACTCCCAGCGTTCTCTCTCTTATTTCAACAAGGCTTTTTAAAAGAGTGTGTTTTAGTTATAAAAACCTAACAGAAACACAACTAAACAAAAGCGATCAATAATTTTTTCAACGGAAATTTACCTCTTCCGGGGTATTTTTTGGTCTCCTTTCGTATTTCCTTATCCTTGGTTGTTCCAATGACTTCACTTGAAAATGTTTAATAATGAAACAAGCTCGTGACGCCACTTGAGTCGCTTTCAGATCTTCAATGGAAACAGCAGATGATCTAATGAACTCTTTGTGGTCAAGAGCTGATCATTGTTATTGTCAGTTTGTGCAGAAGAACGTAGAACAATTGACACATGGGGCTGGTTTAATCAGAACAAATTTTAAATTTGTCCAACCCTCACCTCTGAAGATTGTTTGCTTTCTATCAGCATCAAGAGGGCTAACAGCCAAGAGGAGAACCCTGTTAATCTGTTAATCTACTCCAAATAAACACCTTACAGACAGATCTGAAGGCTCACTGATGAGTCTTTCAAACCGCGGTCTAAGTTAGCCTTCGTTTAATTGAACGACTCACGAAGCTCAGAGGCTGTCTCTGTCAAGTGTGTTGTGTAGGCTGCTTATCGGTCTGGAGTCATTAGATTGCCTGATTTTGGTAGCTTCTCTTTATCCGGCTATATTGCTATCGTTAATTCAGTTCTATCAAGGGCTCTAACACCACCTTACACAACAAGAAAACTGACGTAATGGTTTATATAAATATCATTTGCTATTTTTTTTATGCTTACCTCTGTTTGGTTATGACAATCCTCGCTTAGCTGATTTTCAGTTGAGTGTCAGTCTAACCGTTCGGAGCTATACATAAACCCAGGGGTCTCTGCGAGACAATACTTATTACTAGCGTAGTCAAGTCGCCAAAGCCTGGTTTCCCCATGATTGTCCGAATCGTCCCGATCTCCTCAGTCGTTTCAAAAAAATTTCGAGACGATCCGGACGACTGGGGCGATTGCTAGTTTTATGATCGTCTCGATCGCCTCAAACGAAATCCCACTTTCAGTGCCGGTTTGCAAACTGAAACGTATAATGAAGTAAAAGCACTAAATGATGCCTAGAGAGAATTATTCTCTTTTGTTGATGCCGTTTGCTTTTTGGGTGTTTTACCCAATCTGTTGGGTGCGTTGCCCGAGCAGGCAGGAGTGCCACAAAACCTAATGGGGCCTGAGTTTAAATGCGATGAATTCTGACTAACGACGATATTTAGTGTTCCTTTTTGGAAACATGGCACTCGCTGGACAGGGGCGGATCTAGGGGGAGGGTGCAGGGGGTGCGCACCCCTCCCTAAAATGACCTGCGGTTTTCTAATACATTGGTATTCTGCAAAAAAAAAAGAACTATGTGGTTTATTGGTGTTGAAGTAGAGCAAGAGACGAGTGCACCCCCTCCTAAAAAAAATCCTAGATCCGCCCCTGCTGGATCACTCGGATGAACAAGGAACGTGATTCACTTCTTCTGAGCATTTCCATCTGTTCCTCAATAGTCCGAAATACAAACGGCGCTTTTTGGAGGTTACCGGGTTCATTATAGTCCACATTAAACATTTCTACTGCATGATTGGCAAATCTCCTCTTCGCGGCAAAATCTTCTAATTCCACGCCCCCTTTTGAACTCTGTCATGCACAAACGTGGACGCGAAGGCAAAATATAAGACTGGCATGATCCTATGTGTCTACTGAGGTCTACTGGTACAGAATTTTATTTCTTTTAATTTAAAAAGGCACATTTGAGCAATTGTATCAAATAATATAGTGAAAGGAAAGAAATCCAAGTCCCATTGTAGAAAACGTTTTTTCCTTCCGCAGTGCTTAAATCCCAGCCTCAGTGCAGTAAATCCCATTTTCAAAGTACAGAAAAGGCAAATCCCAGTTCCCATTTTACCCTTCAGGACCCTCTATCAGTTGTTTAAACAGAATGTTGGAATTACTTAAGAAACAACTAGAAACTGAAGGTTGCCAAGACACCAGCCTTATGCTACTAAATTCAGTCAAAACCACAAAATGGAGCATTTCCTATCGTGCTGAAAGTCACTATAAAAAACGCAATGACCTCGTATAACAGATAGGCATCTGATGCTGAAATATGTTCACATATGGTGATCGACATAGTAAAGGAACGTCCTACAATGAAAAAGTACCAAAGCAATATAAACTTGGGAGTAATCTAAAAGAAAATGGAAATATTTTATTCATTTTTTTAAATTCTTACTAAACACACAAGCTGCTGATATTTCTGGTAAAGGGATTTTATCTGACTGACGAAAGTGGTGTCAGCGGTTGAACACCTCCAAAAGCGCCGATTATATCTCCCCCCACTGTATGCGAAGAGTAATACTTATTCGTGCAAATTCAAAGTAAGAGGAAAAAAGTGTTCTTTGACCTAAGCTCGACCTGATGCGGTCCGGACGGCGATGTTTTTTTTCCAGCAATTGCCATACATTACAGTTTTTTTTATGTGTAATACATCATATTTGTATAGCTTTCTGTTTTCTGTTCATGCTTTTAGTTTACCGCTGTACATTGTGTACATCAGTTCTGCTTGTATTCAGCTACATTTGTCCAAAAACATTTACGTTTACAAAATGAGTTTTATACAATGAATGATTATATTCATGTAAGTTTACCTAAATATCCTTTGTTTAGCCTTTTTATTTACATAGATATATTTGACTTTCTTTTGGATGGAAGGTTGAATCCGATCAGTCGTTAACTAGTTTCGTTCCTTTCTAGAATCACGTGACCCTATAACTTTGGAACGCTTCTTCAAATCATCGGGACTCCATATTCTTGATCTGAGTCTGAGGTTACGATAAACCGAGAGAGGAATAAGCCCGAGTTGTCCTCGTCGTCCAATATCAGGACTGGGTCGACAGCTGTAGTTAACGATAAGATACTTTTCCAAATTAGGGCAGTTTTCGCCCCCATTTTGTAATTCCTTGTAAAATGCTTGCACCGGGCAAAAGGGAATATTATTGCATTTGCTCCTTAATTTGGACACAGTTTCTGACGCTCCGGGGCATACTTCCTGTCCTTTTGCAGATGGACACACTTCAGCGTGTTCGCGGCCCCAGAATGCTGAGTTGATCTTGAGTAACCAATCAGATGGGCAGGATAGTATGGACCTTTCAGAGTCACACAAAACAACTTCCTTTTTCTGTGGCACACATGTATAGTTTACAAGCAGATATTTCTGGACGCCGTAACAGTGTTTTCCATTTTGTAATATATCGGCCCTTCCTTCTAAAACACAACTTCCCATTCCTTCACACATGTCTTTTACGACATGCTCCGCCTCAGGGGCTGTGGGGCAGTCTGTTTCCGGGTCCCCGTCCTCCGAAGGGCAAATGTCGGGGGATTCCCGTCCCCAAAATACTCCTGTTATAGCGATTGCTGATCCCGGAGACTCACAAGTCAGTGGACTCTTTCCTTTTGAGCAAACTGTCACTCGTTTATCTGTGAATAAATCATATTAACGGCGAATATTAAAAAAGCTTTCAGCAGCGTTTTTCATTTGAATGAGGAATTAAATATGAGACAAAAGGTGTGTTGACATGCCGATAACTCTATGGAAAAGTCGAGGATAGATGATAAGACAACGCACGTCTCATAAAAAGGTCGTTCAACATTCCTGCCTTTTCTAGTGTTTTGTCATCAGCGGGATAGTCTAACTCTAAATAAGAAAATTGAGAATGCACGTATTTTCGTATTTTCGGGACCTCTCAGACGTTTACAATTTTATAACTGGTCTTCAACAAACGATAGCTCTCAATTTTGCCAAAAAAGTCATAGTTAACTTATTCATGGAGCTTAAAGCTAATGTCATTTAATTTTGGTTGTATTTTTAGCCACTTCTAAAGTACTGATACAGTGCTATATGGGGATTTGGCATCTGCACTCGTACTAGTGCTTGTCGTCGATGCCAAATCTCTCTATTTCCCCCTCATTACACGCGTCCATTTGGCTTAACAGCAAGGCGATTAAACGAACTCTTACTCAATCGATTCGCGAGTTTTTATCCTCTCAGAAGTTTACACTTTTATAACTGGTCTTCAACAAACGATAGCACTCAATTTTGCCAAAAAAGGTCATAGTTAACTTATTCATGGAGCTTAAAGCTAATGTCATTTAATTTCGGTTGTATTTTTAGCAACTTCTAAAGTACTGATACAGTGCTACATGGGGATTTTGACATATTTAAAAACTCCATCAACCGGGAACTCTCTGATTCCTGCTAAGTCCTGGGGTCGAGGGCCGTGGCTTAAACACTGACTTATGCACAATTCAAATGTGACCGGTGCACACCACTGCAGAGCTTTCTTCTGATATATTTTAAATACTACATTCTTACTTACCTGCTTCCAAGTCTAGGGTCGTCAAAAGCTTCTCTTTTTCATTAGTTGAACCGTAGGTAAGTCCTATTGGAAAAAATAAATAAGATGTGTTATCCGCGCACGAACCAGTGGACCATTCTGCTTGACCGTAACGTGGCCACATCAGATTATTTGGCGTGCAATCATGGGGTTCTCTCTTCAAATTCCATCGCCAAATAACATGAGATTGCAGCTTTATGGTCACAGGTAATAGCTATTGATTTAAGCTTAAACAGAGAGACTATTCAGGTAAGGGGAGGACTAACATAGAGGGGTGCAGGCGTGAAAAGAAGTACAAAGTAGTGACGCCTGCGTTCTGTCAATGAAGGGACACAACGCAGAATGTAAGAGTGAGAGAAGTGAGAAGTGAATGTCCTAAGCTGCACTTAGGAGCAACAAGAAAAAGACACCGCTCATAGTCCAACATCAATATTTTTGGTTCAATATGCCGTTAAGAGGGTAAACAAACCATTTATAGCTTTGTCAAGTAGCAGGCCACACCAGCCAACCTTTTGCGCGATCCAGTTGATTCTAGTATTTAGAAGACACTCTATGCTTAAAGTCTCATTTTTCCAGAAGCTGCATTTTCTGCATCTATTAAGATTATATTTACATTTTCTTAAAGGAAATACTAAATAACGTGTGGGTGATAAAGTCAATTGGAAAGTGCCAAGAGTCTATAACGAACCATTCACCCTGGGCAGGTGATATACTTGTGCAGTTCCAAAGCACTGGTTTCCTTTGTTTCTACGTACAACAATATATAGCTCGCTCTTAACGGAGGGTAAATTTCTAAGAAGCTAGATATCTCAGTAGGGGGTCAGGGGACAACACGGACAATAATATATATGAAAAAAAATCACCACGACTTACCAGACATAGTTAAAAGAACCACGAAGTAAATAACGTCCTTGCTGTCCATTGGGAGCCGGAAATGGCCAATTCCTCTGTTTGGCTTTCAAACTACGTGCGTTGAATTAATCTGATGTAGGATTTTAGGTATAGAAGTATTTAAAAACGAAAACGCGCATCGTAAGAGCAAATAAATATAGAATAAACACACTTAGCGATATCGGGTCAAAATGATAAACAAACCTTCCTTTCGTCGGCGCACAATCGCCATCCGCGTCATCACATCGACAGTTAATGATGTTTTAAAGTAAAGCTAGATTTCAATCTGGACATAAAATTTGTGATAGCTTATAAAAAAATACCTTCTGTTGATATTTTTTGTCGAGAAATGACGTTCGCACGGAAGTATGAGCACGAGCTGTTAATAATTAAAATCGTAACTTGCACTTGTTCCACTGTCAGTACGTGGTTTTGATTTTTTGCGGGTATGCATTGTAGGTGAATTAACAAGAAATATTTGCTTTTTCAATTAAGAGGAGAAAGGATATGAGTTTCACCTAGTACACAGTTTACTGTCATTGACCAAAATTATGGTACGAGCAGAACACGGGTCCCATAATCTAACAACAACGTTTGCCAAATGTTAGTGCGTCCAAGTTTGAGGACGGTGTAATGAAGGCTTTTAGATAATTAAGAATTCAGAATTGTCCCAAGATATTTCAAGTAAAGGCCTGCCTTTACCGATATGCGTTCTTGTTTTTGTAGAGAGATAAATTAATAAAAAGATTCTTTTCGATATATTAAACTGACTGCAACTTTATAGTGATGCCTAGGGGACAAAAAAAAACCAAAGCAAATTATTAATCGTGTTCATTAATTTTCTTTGCTTGTATCCTTTAACGGCGAATATTAACATATCGAATTTTAATATATCGAAAGGATCCTAATGGCTGATTCTCTCTGAAATAATACTAATTAAAATGCAAAAGGACTATATCTAGAGGTGTTACGCTAAGCAACGCCTCGTACATCTTGTCTAACAACAGCGTAATAACACTACGAGAAAAAGTGTGCAAAACATTGCTCCGTATATGGTAACAGTCTTTTAGCATAACAATATACACAGTGCTTGACAACGAGGTCACTTAAACTGCAATACGTCTTTATTGCATACACAACTAAATGCTCAATTTACAGAGGATTTGTGTGGAATGTTCTCTATAATTTAGTTTTACAAAGCAGATAAATGAAAACAAACTGCAATTTAGCCTTGATTGCAAACGAAACAACTGTCCCGCAAAAATGTATTCAATCGAGAAACCTCTTTGGTTTAAATAACTGGATAGGAATGATTCTTTAAATAAGGCCGTGTTATCGAATCCAAAAACAATACAAAGTGTTTCACTGCGCATACATTCTGCGGTCACCTAAGCTTAAACTCAAATCTATAATCAACAAATAGTCCTCTTCACCTCTGTATACCAAAAATAAAGATGTGCGCCTGTCACACCTACTCTTTTGTGCTTAACAAATTTTCTTGTAGGAACAACCAGCTCCTTAACAAGGCTGTCAGGAGTGTCACGCAGTAACAGGAAAACCTCTATTGCTGCGTTATTCACTATTCAGCGAAGCGTGTTTCACATTTTCTTTTCTTCTTTTTTTGTTCGTCTTTGTTTGATCTAAGTAGAGAAAGAGTATTTGCTTTTTCATTGACTGCAGATATTAGAAAATAAAACATACACCATTGCAACCTAATTGGTACCCGCTTGTTACTTCTTTATTAGTTTGGTCGACTCAGATCAAATTAAATTTTTGCTGGTTATTGAATTGAAAATAAGGGGAAAACTCAAGTATTTGGAGAAAAATCTATCCGCGCAAGGCAGGCAAACTGCAACAAACCCGACCAACACATTGAGTTCGTCTCTGATAGGAACAAGGACAATTTTGGGTGGGGGAGAGCTCTCTCCATTGCGTGGGAATCACTAATTTCATCTCTGAACAAGGCAAGGCTCTTATACTCTTAATTATAAGGTCTGAAAAACGCTTTCGTACCTCTCTTAGCTAATGCATTGATTTTGTCACTTGCTAGAGCTCTTTCCCACAATGCAAGATTATCGATCTCCAGTGGCACTCTGAAAGTGAGTGCGTCAGAGTTGTTTGGACGTCCAATTTCTACGTGAGAGAATGCATCGTTTGGCCTTGAAACTTTGAAGGACTTTCCACTTGTAATTTCCTTGCCATTGACATACAGCTTAAGTAAGCCGTCCTTCTTCCAAGTAAAAGCCATGTTAAACCATCCTTGAGGAAGATTTGTTGTTTCTACCTGCCACTGTTTGTGATGTGTGCTTAGTGTAATGATGTAACGATTCAAGAGATGAAGAAAGGCAAAACCACGAGCCTTTGTTGTTTGACCTCCGCTGGACAAGAAGTACGAGCTGGACTTGTTATGGAATTTTGTTTTGTCCAGCTTGAGCGATGCCATCACTGTCATGCCCTTATGTTTACACTGATCTGGATCACTGAAACATTTTCCTGCGAATACAAAAAGTTATTAGCTATTGCGGTCCTTTGGATGTGAATTGGAGTATTTCATGTAAAGCCAGTGCCGGATCCAGAACAAAACGGAGGCGAGGGGGGAGGGGGGGGGGGGGGGTCCCAAAAAAAATTTTCCCGCCCCTGGGGCATCGGTTTGGTTTTAAAAAAAGGGTTGGGGCCCCCCCCTGTGGCTCCTCCTTTGTAGACCCCCGCCTTTCTCAC